CCCCCGTAGAAATCCGATACTGGCAGTCACTGCATGTTAAACCCCACTTCTCCTAGTCAGCTCTAGGCAGTCACTAGTCTTTGTATCTCTATGGGTTTGCCTATTCTGGATATTTTATATAAAGTGAATCATACAATTGTCTTTTGGGACTGGCTTCTTTCCCTATGCATCATATTTTCAAGGTTTATTCATGTTGTAGGGTGTCATAGTACTGCACTTTTTTACCAAATAATATCCCATTTTCAGAGTATAGCACATTTTGTTTATCCGTTCATCACTTTGTGGACATTGGGTGTTTCCGGTTTTTTGGCTTTTTGAGTAACGCTTCTGTGAACATTCATGTGCGAGTGTATGTGTAGACATATTTTCATGGCTTTGGGGATGGGATGTCTGGGTCAAATGGAAACTACGTTTAACCTTTTGAGGAACTGCCGGCCTGTTTCAAAGCAGCTGCCATTGTCTTACGCGCCCACCAGCAGTGCACAAGGCTTCCAATTCCTCCACATCTTTGCCAAACACTGGTTATTTCACATATTTTGATTATAGTCATCCTGGGGGGGTGTGAAGCGGTATCTCATCGCAGTTTTGATTTGCAATTTCTTGTTGGCTAATAATGCTGAACATTTTTTTGTTTGCCTTTGGCCATTTGTATGTCGTCTTTAGAGAAATGTCTTTGCCCATTGTTGAGTTGGGGTATTTGTCTTTTTATTATTAAACTGCAAGAGTTCTTTATATATTCTGAATACAAGTCTTGTATTAAAAATTGATTTGCAGATATTTCCTCCCATGCTGTGGGTTGTCTTTTCACTTTTTTGTTCTTTTTGCTTTTTATTGAATTTATTGGGGTGACACTGGTTAACAAAATTATATGGTTTTCAGGTGCACAGTTCTACAGCACATCATCTATACACTGTGTTGTGTGTTCACCACCCCAAGTCAGGTCTCCATCCATCACCATCTATTCCCCTGTGCCCCCCCCACCTTCCCCTTCCCCTCTCCCTCCGGCAATCACCACACTGTTGTCCACGCCCATGAGCTTTTTTCTCTTTTGCTCAATCCCTCCCCCGACCAGCAGCCTTCCCCCTCCCCCTGACAGCTGTCAGCCTGCTGTCTATGAGTCTGTCTCTCTTTTGCTTGTTAGTTCATTTGCTCATTAGATTCTACACATGAGGGAAATTGTATGATACTTGTCTTTTCTGACTTATTTCACTTAGCATAATGCTCTCCAAGTCCATCCATGCTGTCACAAGGGGTAAGATATTTTTCTTTTTTACAGCCGAGTAGTAGTCCATGGTATAAATGTGCCACAGCGTTTTTATCCGCTCATCTACTGATGGGCCCTTGGGCTGCTTCCAAATCTTTGCTATTGTAAATAAAGCTGCCATGAACAAAGGGGCACATATGTTCTTTTGAATTAGTATTTCGTATTTCTTCGGATAAATTCCCAGAAGTGGAATCACTGGGTCATGAGGTAGCTCTATTTTCACTTTCTTGCTCTCCACAGTGGCCGCACCAGTCTGCGTTCCCACCAGCAGCACACGAGGGGTCCCTTTTCTCCACAGCCTGTCTTTTCACTTTTTTGATAGTGCCCTTTAAATCACAAAAGTTTTAAATTTTGATGATATCCTGTCTGTTTTTTTATTGTTTCTTGTGCAATTGGTGATATTCCTTTGAAACCATGCATACTATGAGATCCCAAAGATTTATGCCTTTTTCTTTTAAGAGTTTAATAGTTTTAGCTCTAACATTTAGGTCTTTGATCAGTTTTGAGTTACTTTTTTTTTAAGACTCTACCATGTTTTTAATTTTTTATTAATCTTAGAAGGAGGGAGGGAAGAAAAGAGGGAGGGGAGAGAGAGAGAAGGGGAGAGAGAGAAGGAGAGAGAGAGAGCGAGCTGTGGTCTCCTGCACTCGCCCAGACCAAGAATCGAACCCACCACCTTTTAGTGTACTGGAAGACACTCCAACCCGGTCATGCTGGCCAGGGTGGGTCGCTTTTTATATGTGCTGTGAGAAACCATTTGGTGAAAAGACTGTTCTTTCCCCATTGAATTTATTTTTCATTTTGCATATTTTTCATCTCTAGAAATTGCATTTTAGTCATTTTATATTTTCAGTTTCTCTCTTTCTCTGTATTCTTGAGTATATGGATAATTCTCTTAATAGCTGTTTTAAAAAGCCTTCTGTGCTCATTCCATCTCTGTACCATTTATTTGTCTGTTTCTATTGATGTATACATTTTTTACTGAATATGGGTCAGAATTTTCAGCTCCATTATTTTGCGCAGTGTCCTGGACATTGTGATTTTTGCAGTTTATTCTTCAGTTTTGTTGTATTTCTTTTAGGCTGTTGAGCTTTTTTCTGGCATGCGATTATATTACACAGGCTCTGTATGATCAATTTCAAAATTGTTTTTAAGGTTTGTTAGGACCTGTACATAGCAACCCGAAGTCCAGTGCAAATTAATTTCCACTAAGATAGTGCCTTTTTGTGACCTTTGTACCATCTCTTTGCACTATGAGGTCTCTCCACTTTGACTAGTGGGGATGCAAACTATTCCTAATTCCATGGGAGGTCCTGGCATTGTTTGACTTGCTGTTTTCTGGTAGTTCTTTCTCCAGCTTCATGGAGTTTCACATTATGTTCAATTATTCAGTCAGAGGTTCAATCACCTCTGCAGCTTGCTCTGTGAAGCTCTCTTCTGTAGTATTTTGTTCTACGATCATGATCTTTGTTTCCTCAATTGAATGAGCTCTCTGGCCTTTGTTTGGGTTTCCCTCCCTGGGCTGCATCCTCTCATCTGCTTCCAGGTAGCAAGCAGGGCAGTCACATTTTGTTTTTCTTTTCTTGGATGTGCCATTCCTGAGCTGCCTGTTATCTCCCAAAGTAGTCGCTTCCTGTGTTTTCTCTAGTTTTCTTATTGTTTACCATTAGAGGCCTATTATCTGAGTGGTTAATCGGGCAGAAGGGGAACCCTTCTATCACTGTGTTTTTATTTACAGTTAATCTCTTGTAAATAGCATGTAGGTCCTGTTTTTTCTTTTATTTTGGTCTTTTCTTTAAAAATGTAGTTAGATAATCTCTGTCCTTTATCAAAATGTTTAGTCAATTAATATTTAATATAGTATTGGTATTATTGAGTTTAATTCATACCATTAGGGTATTTGTTCTAAAATTTTTCTTTATTTTTTTCTCTGTTGTTTGTTCTTCCTTTTGCTCTTTTTTTTTTGGATGAATTGAGTGTTTTTTAAGTCCATTTTTTATCACTTTCATTGGATTTTTAGCTATACCTCTTTTGTGTTTTTTTTAGTGACTGCTGTAGTGATTGTAATAGTCATCTTTATCTTATCACAGTCTACCTTGAATCAGTATTATACTACTTCATGTATAAGGTAAGAATATTACAATAGTGTAATTCCACTTGCTTTTTTCCTGTCCTTTGTGTAATTATTGCCATATATTATATATAGGTTACTAACCATACAATACATTATTATTTTTGCTTTAAACAATTTTCTTATGAAGAAATAAGAAAAAAATCTTTTTATTTACCCATATATTGACCATTTCTTGTGATCTTCATTTTTTTCAGATCGATCTAAATTTCCTTCTGCTGTAATATTTCTTTAGTTTGATGAACTTTAATGTAAATATTGTGTTTTTCAGTTGTGGCATTAAAATATGATAACTTTCATATATATGAAAAATGTTTTTATTGTGTATATGTGTCTTCATAGTTCAAGGATTTTTTTGTTGTTGTTGCTGGAAATAGTATCCTAAGTTGACAGATATATTTTTTCAATGATTTGAAGATATAATTTCCTTTTCTTGTGGCTTCCTTCATTTCTCTTAAGAATTTCTCTCATATTAGTTTGCTGTTTACCTTTTAAAAGTAGTATGTCTTTTTCCTCCCTCTGACTTTTTTAAGTAGTTTTTGGATACCAGTAATTTTAATATGATGTACCTAAATGTCAGTTTTATTCTCTGAAATTGTGAATTGTATGGCTTATTTATTCTGTGGCTTCATGTTTTTCATCAATTTTGTAACTTTCCTGACATTTTCTCATCAGATATTGCATTTGTTCTGTTTTGTCACTTGGTTCTCCATTTCTAGGAGTTCTCTTCACTTATGTTAGGCTTTTTCACTATGTCCCTAATTTTTCTTACTGACTTCCCTATATTGTATATTCTTGCATCTCCTTTGATCTATATTTCAGTTCACTAATTCTTTCTTTGAATGTTTCCAATTTTCTCTCAAATCTATGTTTCATTTATTTCTTACTATTTAACATAGCACTGAAGCTCACTGTATTAAAGCAGTTTTACTCATGATTCTTCATCATCTGTTTTTGCTGAAATCTGCTGGGCAGTTCTTCTAGTGTCTTCTGTTTTTTTCTCATGTGGTTACAGTTATCTGGCAGTTTGGCTTTGGATGGTCTCTGATGCTTCGCTCACGTGTCCAGTGGCGTGTGAGCTGACTGGCTGATCGAGGGGTCCTCAGCTGCAAATTCCTGAGATTTAGCTTGAGTTTAGGTCTAACAGACACCGGCTTTCTGCATGGTGTATTCACACCTGAGGCAGACATCCTGTGTCATGCTCTCCGGCCGCCGTGTGGAGGCGAACAAGTCACTGTGCTTGCCCGCGCATCGCCCAGGATTGCCTTTGGAAGTTCTCGCTTTTGGAAAGGGGTAGTTGAGTGGCATCATACTAGGCATCCTCCTTTAATTTCCGAAGGGGGACTGCAAGTTACTACTTCCTAGTTTTATTTGTGTACTTTTCACCATACCCAAATTTTGGTTGTTGCCGGCAAGTTTTCTTACTCTTTCCGTAGAAATCTGTGAGGAGTAGGTGCAATTGCTAAACTTAGCCCTCTGACTCAGTAGTTACAAGGGTTTATTTTTCTGATGAAAAAAATGTAGCCAGGAATTTCATAAAATACCTAAAGCAACCCATCTCTTATTTTGATTTCTTTCAGGTAATGCTTCGCACATAGTGAGCACTCAATACATTTTTTTTACATGAGCAAATTAACCTTACTGGTTTCACATAAAGTTTTCTGTGAAATGATATCTTAAACTTTCAAGCACAAGGTTACAAAAATTAAAGTTGACATCATTGTTTCTTACTGTAAAAGTAATATGAAGTTATTTTAGGGAATTGATGGTGCAGGAAAATTTGCTAAACCAAGATAACCATCATTAACTTTTCCAAAGGCACAGTTATACATTTAAAAACAAAATTGTGATCGTTCCAAACATAATGTTTTATATCTCTATTTTACTTAATCTGTCATGAACATTTTCCTTTGTTACTAAGCTTCTTCCTGTTTCATAAGGTAATCTATGATAATGTTGAAAACTGCATTATAACTTTTCTCAGTTTTATTAACGGATGTTGAAAATTATTTAACATTTTCCATGATAACTCCATGTCATTTCTATGCTGTGTTACAATAGAGCTATGCTTCTGAAAATTTCTGTAAGATACAGGTATTTGGGTTTTACTCTGTATGTGGGTGTATTTTTTCACCCTTAGATATTAACTCATGTTGATGACCTTGTGCTAGTCTCAGGATTTCCCTCTCATTTCCAAATTTTCCACATAGTAGAAGTGTGTATTTAATGTCTGCTGTTTTAATTCATACATCCTGATTATGCATTTCTTTCTTCCATTGTTTAGCTGTGTGACTTTGGGTAGTTGCTCAATGACTCGGGCTTCCTCATCTTAGAAATGGTCCTAAAAATAGTACTTTCTACAAGAATTGTTGTCACGATTAAATGATACAATTCATGTATATCACCTAGTACACTATATGACAGTGGGGTGGTATTTACAATATTTTAAAACCTATGCAATATGTAAAGTGACCAATCAGAATACATGCCTTCCACAAACAGTTGGAATCACCTGCACATTGACTCTCTTGGCTAGAGAGAGCGCTCAGTTAAATGCCATCTCAGTTGTAATAATGATGAAAAAGATTATGAAGGTGACAGTGAGGATGATGTTTGAACAGTTACCACACTAAGCCAATATTATGCCCCAATAGGCACTAAAGGTGTGAGATTTCATATAGAACTTTATTTCTCATCTGAAATTGTTGGAGCCTATTATAATATTAAAATGAAAATGTAATAAACCTTGTATTATGAAAACACAAAAAACTCATGCTTTAAATCTGATTCTATTAGTTCATAGCCACATAGAATTTGAGTTAAGCCTTGAAGCTTTTCTTGCCCAAAGAAGATAAACATTTATGCAAATTAATTTAAAAGTACGATTTTTCATATATATTTTCTTGAAGTAAGGACCTATCGCCACACAATTTTCTATATTTATTGATCCTTTGTTGTTATGTGTAAATTTTCACACATTTAATCAAAGCTATGTTCAAACTTTTGTTTATGTAACTCAATAGACAATATTCACATGAATCTTTTAGGAATATATTAAAAAGGATTCCTTGCCTAGCTATGATTTTTATGTTTCAATTTATCTCTAACCTGCACATTTTATAGGGCATAAGGCAAAATTTCTAAATAGAACTTATTGTATATATTGCCCTGTATGGATATTTTGATCCACATATGATATGCATTAAAACAATTTGGGAAGTGTCCTTTGGACTTTGCTAACATTCAGTTTTTTAAAATAAACTCTTTGTCTTGATATTGTACTTGGAAATATTATATAGATGTTTATTGTGTGTGTGTGTGTATATATATATACACACACACACACACACACACACATATATATTTACTATTTTCTTTAGCCTGCCAGTGTAATGGACACAGCACTTGCATCAATAATAACGTGTGTGAGCAGTGTAAAAATCTGACCACAGGAAAGCAGTGTCAAGACTGCTTGCCAGGCTATTATGGAGATCCTACGAATGGAGGACAGTGTACAGGTAACTATTTTTTATTTCAATTCAAGTGTGTGTGTGTGTGTGTGTGTGTGTGTGTATGTGTGTGTGTGTACTACAGAAAATTGAATTGAGAAAGATACACCTGTTGTGGAAAATATACTTTTAAAAAAGAAAATTTTGCTGTAATGTCAATATTTTTGGAAAATGCTATATTAGGGACTATGTAAACTATAAAAATTTTGTGATGGACTTTAAAAAATTTTACTTTTGTTATTTCAAAATGAATTCATGTTGCCCAGCTGGGCATGGCTCAGTGGTTGAGCATTGACCTAGGATCTAGGAGATTGAGGTTCGATTCCTGGTCAGGGCACATGCCTGGGTTGCAGGTTTGATCCCCAGTCGGGGGCGTGCAAGAGACAGCCGATCAATGACTCTCTCATCATTGATGATTCTCTCTCTCTCTCCCTCTCTCTTCCTTTCTCTGAAATCAATAAAGATATATTTTTTAAAAAATTCATGTTTATTATACAAAATTTATCAAATACAGATAAAGTTAAAAATTACCTGTGATCTCACTATTCAACACACTGCAACGCCTCAACACTCAACGCACTACACTACTTTGCAGTGAAGGAGTATCCTTGAACTCCACAACTATTGAATTCTTACTACATCCAAGTACTGTGTTAGGACTTAAACTTATATACACTCTATGGATGTTACAATAGGAAATTGAATGATAGAATCACTAACAAAGCAGTTAATTCTGATGGAAGGCTCTGGGTAGGCCCTTGAGAGTTGAGGGCAGTTTATGATCTTCAATTTTATGTGATTATTATGAGTTGCATGTTTTTCATTATAATTTGTTCCAAATATAAGATAGCTAAGCTATAATGTTACTAATCTTAAAATATTTTTCATTTCTTAATATGTATTTGTTTTATTCAGTTATTCATAAAAAAGATGTACAGAGTAAAAAACCTTCTAAATCATGAAATATACAGATATGTAAAAATGTGCAGTCTTGTAGGACTAAACCTTCTTCATCTAGGTCTTACTCTTTTTGAGTAGTGTATTGCAAGATTGCAAGATATCTAGAGGGCTTAGTTGGTATTGTGAATAAATTCTCAGTAATTTAACATTGTATTTATATTGATTTAAGTAACATTTATTTTTATATTTATTATTTTATGTCTTTTAGTTCATTTTTGTTCTTTTTCTTGGTTCTTGAATAACATACTTATCTGAATTTTTTTTTATATGCATGGGTGGGTAAAAGTAGGTTTATAGTTGTCTGTATGGAAAATAATGCGGTATTTAATAAATAATAATACTAGAATAAACTATGTTTCCCCTACAACTGTAAACCTACTTTTGCCTATCTCCATATAGTGGTATACTTATCTGAAATTATAGATATGTACTTTTAATAGTAATAAAGAAACTTACTGTTTTCCAGTTTGGGGAAGAAAAGTGTTCTTTCAACATAGTGATAATTCTATGTTTTTATCTTTGTTTCTTATCAGCAAATCTTATATTTTTCTGAATATTAATAATATCTGTCCATAGCTGACTGTTACAGACGTATTTAATATTTTAATAAACACAGTGGGCTATGACACAAAGATTCTCTGAGACTAGAGGGTAGTGTAAAAGAAGACTAATTAACTTTTCTTTCTCTCTACTAGGATGGGAGTTTTTTTTTCATTTTAAACTCTTCTCACATACTGCAGATTGTTCATAGAAGCAGAAAATTTATAAGCAAATGAATTTGAGCATTTTCTAATATAAAAGTAAGAAGTTTAATTCTCTCAAACTGGGAGCATTGACCTGAATAATCTAAAGATGCAGATAAATGGAAGTCACTTGACATGGAAATCTTGGTTTTATTAGTTGTTTTGACAGAACAAAATTAAAAGTTTGCATTTGCTGAGCATACATTATTGTGCTGTGTGTCAGAGAAAAGCCAACCTGAGATTTTCTTCATTCCAGCGAGAGCCCATTAAATGAATAACTATATAATTATGTGTAGATATTTAGAACATGGTATAACCATGAAGTTACGCTTTGATCAAAGATTCTGATCAGAATAGCATTTTTATATAAATTTAATCACATTAAGAAACCAAGAAAGCCTTTTTAATCATGCAAAGGCGAGAGAAAACTCCTTTATTTAGGAGCTGATATATCTCCAATCTTCCAGAACTGCATGATTAAAAAGGAACTTCATTGCTTAGCTGCTGGAATATTTTTAGCTAGTTTGTCCTCACTCTCTACTAGTTTTTTGAAATTCTTTTATCATCATTGGAAGTGGGGGGGGGTCCCTTTCCCCATTGGGTGCTGGGGATTGGGCCCTTACGATACCTTGAGAAAAAGAATTCTCTAGGGCTCTCAGGGCAGGGTGAGTGATTATTATTTGTGTGGAATTACATGCCTGCATTTCTAAGGTCCCATTTCCCTTAAACCGGTCCTGGAAGAGGTGCAGCTGGGGATTCAGCAGAGCCAGAAGCAGAGCCAGTGTCCAGAGTTTCTGTTCCATGGTGGAGTTGAATCCAGTAGAGCATCAGGCTAGTTCCGGCCCATCAGTCCACTGTGCGGGGTCCATGTGGCCGTGAGCCAGGAGCCCAGTGCACGAGAGCGAGAGAGAGAGAGGAAGGGAGGGGGACTCCTTTATTGAGCAATTTATGTATTTTGCATCTTCGGGAACTTGCAGCGGCCACACCTACTCTCGCCAGTAACCTGTTCAGAGGTGTGACTGCCAAGCTTCACTCTCCCCGTTCCACGCACACTTTCCTGAGCGGCAGCTTTCTCACAAAGTGCACAACTGGCGTGCCTTCGCCCCTTTGATTCCCTTTGATTCCCATTGATTCTCTTTGATTCCTAACTGGTTCCTTGCCACGCTGCCACTGTTTTCCTTGGTGAGCGTTCCTCTCAGATGCTCAGCTGCCCTAGGGTTTCTTTATTCCATCTTCTCAAGCTCTTTCCTCCTGTGGGTTCTCACAGAAGGAACAACAAGGACAAGAACTGAGACTGGGCAAACTTTGACACTGACCCTAAGTCAAGTATTTCAGGATGACCCTTGCTAATGGGCAACAGGGGAGGCAGATTACTACTTTTCCGTCAGCTGCCTTTCTTGGAGACCCGTGTGTGGGCCGAGCCTCACGAAACTGCCGGCGGCATTCCTGCACCTTGGGGAGCTGGGGAACTCGGCCAGCTGAGGTAGCCGGGCCCTGCCCCTGCCCCTGCCCCTTCCCTGGGGGTCCTGCCTCAGCTCTCCCTCCCTGTGTAACTGGCACAGACGTCTGCTCCCCAGCCCAATTTCAACTCAGCTTTGACTTCAACTTCTGACCCTTGGTTAGTGTTGAATAACCCTTATATCATCTTTTATTCTGTTTATTGTTTACTTTTGGTTATAAGTCGATAATGCAACTTTGCATTGTAGGGAACAGAAATACCGTGTGACTACATAATGGCCCTGTAGGGTGCATCTCGGCTGTAAGAGCATCATGTAAAATTCGCCGAGCGAAAGGCCACTGCGTGGTGATTCTGTAGGTGCTAATTCAGCATAAAAAGAAGCTCAAATGCTGACAACAACAGAATAATTTCAGCACTGTCATGAAGCATACATTTTAGACAATTGAATTTAAAATACATTTGTGCCATTTTAGCCAGAAGTACAGCTCCACAGGGGAATTCTCTCAAAATGAGCTTACATTAAAAGGTATTTTAACACAATTTTTTTTTTGTCCCAGAAATTATTAAAGCTACTATATGACAATTCTTTCAGGAAACTCTGCGAGTGTTAACTATTTCCAGTACTACCATAAAGGATAAATAAAAGATTCATCCCAGTTTTAAAATATTAATGTGCATGGTGTTTTCAGTGAAGTTCTGAATGCAGGGCAGTATTCATACGCAGCTCTGCAAGTTCATGTGAAGATGCCCTGGCCCCTTCACTCACTGCTTAGAGTTGCGTGCACAGTGTCAGCCGGCCTTCGTGACCCTGTGACCTGATGAGCGTTCCTCATCTTCCTGTTTCTACATCTTTTCATTCATTTCCATCATTCTCCCATGTTGTGTTTCCACAGCTAATTCTACAAACCTGAAGGAAAGTTATGCTGATTAATTCACTTTTATGTAGACATGACTTTGAAGAAAAAAAAACAGGTTCTTAAAAAACTACCTAATACCAACTTATTTGTGTGTGTGTGTAGGGGTGTGTGTATTTATTACTTTATATTAATTATCTACTTTTTAAAGCAAATATTCCTGAATGATCAGCAAGAAACTTAGTGTTCTAGAATACTTTAGCCCAGCCAGCGTGGCTCAGTGGTGAGTATCGACCTATGAATCAGGAGGTCATGTTTGATTCCCAGTCAGGGCACATGCTTGGGTTGTGGGTTCGATCCCCAGTAGGGGGCCTGCAGGAGGCAGCTGATCAATTGCTCTCATCATTGATGTGTGTGTGTCTCTCTCCCCCTCTCCCTTTCTCTCTCTGAAATCAATAAAAAACACAGACATATAGAATAATTAATACTTTGATCAAAACCAGTGACTCAGCTTATTTTTATGTTTGTATGTGAATCAAGAAAATACCACATTATTTCATTTTTGTCAGTAGAATGATTGAACTTCACAGGAACACAGTAGTTCTCATTAAAGGTTGTTAAAAGGCCTGGTGACATGGCTAAATACATTGCCCAGGGTCACACATCTAGTGATTACAGGTGCTCATTGTGAAGCTAAGCTGCTTGACTCCAAAGCTCTTGTGCTAGTTGAGACCCATTTCATTGAGTAGATGGCCAAAGCAGAAGTGGAAAGAAGCCCAAAGAATGAGAGACATACTCGGATCCATAAATACCCAAAGGACTTTAAAGGGTTTCACAGATGTTTCTTTCTCTCTCTTTAGAAAAAAAGGAAAAAAATCAATGTGAGAGAGACACACCTCGACTGGTTGCCTCCAGCACGCGCCCCAACTGGGCAACCGAGGTACATGCCCTTGGCCGGAATCGAGCCAGGGACCCTTACAGTCCATGGGCCAGCTCTCTAACCACTGAGCCAAATCGGCCAGGGCTCAGAATTTTTCAATGAGCGAATTTACTTCCCTTTACTTAAAAATAACTCATATGGTAACCCTAGTTTTGGGATGGCAAGGGGGAAATTCATGGTGTGAAAAGATAATGAAATCGTCCTTGAAATGTGCTGCACGTTTGCAATGGAGAGTATTCAGTGTCATCTTGCTTTTGACTTTGCAGCTTGTACATGCAGCGGCCATGCAAATATCTGTCACATGCACACAGGAAAGTGTTTCTGCACAACTAAAGGAATAAAAGGTGATCAGTGCCAATTGTAAGTAAAAAGGGGTTTCTAGAACTTTTGTGGGTTGAACTTGTGCTGCAGAACAAATTTTTGTAGGTTTTCCCCTTTTAAGTCTAGTGTTTTGCTGGTTAAGTAAACAGTATTATTGTAAGCTATGTTTACTTGGGTTCTATCAATTCTCATAAAAAGTTAAGCCTTTTAAAATGACAGTTTTGTGGAGGCTTTAAAACAGAGCCCATAGACCATGTTTGCATTTTGTATCTCTCTAAAAAGGAGAAACATTCGTATTTTTTCCTTGAAAACTCATGTTACGTATCAAATATGCATCATCATCTTTAAAGTTTTCCTTTGTATCTCGTTAAATAATTCAGATTCAGTGCTTTTATGCCTCTCTTTCTATTTGAATCTTTCATGATTAATTCTGGTATTTGTAGCCTTTTAAGCCTTTCAAGTGATTTTTTATACCTGTTCTCTTTTCCCTGTTATGTCAGCAGACATGACCCACTTCTGTTGTTACTGTGCCCAGTAGTTTTATGAGTGGCTTTTGTCTTTTTATAATTTGTTATTCTCAAGATTTATTCAACTCCCCAAAATAACTTTAAGAGGTAGTTGTTTCATGTTATTTGAGTGTTTTCCCTTTTTATTTTTTTCATGTATGCCATATATTAAAAGTGTTTTCATAGTTTTGAATTGTATATATTGCCAACACTTATGTTTATGTTAGATATAAATGTACTGTATTTGATACAAACCATAAACGCCAACTATAGTTATAAAAAGTTAAAATTTTCCAAAACTATAAATATATAAAATTATACTCAAAAAAGTCTGTTAACCATGGAAAATGATCACTCTGTTTTTATTGAGAAGAAATACCTATTTTTGCTGTAGAATTATCCCAAACATTTCAAAGTAGATGCCATGTCTTTGACTGGTTGCTGAGCTATCATAGGTTTTCAAGTTCAGAGAAGATGAGAAGAACCAGCTTTTATTTCTTCTCCATAGTCTCTAAACTCAAAAACGGAGCCAGAGCGTAGGATTATAGGGCAGTTCTTATTAAGGAAGACTGTTTGGTCTCCTTACCGATGGGATTAGATCAGAGTCCTGTGCTCTAAGACAGGAGGATGCCTCCAGTACTTTGCAACACCAAATACTGGCTGTCACAAGCAGGGCCAGTGTGGGCTCTGCCTGCGCACGAGGGCTTCATGCTTGTTTTAATGCTCTGCCGTCGTCATCTTGAGATTCTTAATACATTTTTACCAAGATGATGCGTTTTACCAAGAAAATGCATTCTTAATGCATTTTCATTTTGCTCTGCTCCTTGCTTTCCTCTCACCCCCTCCGCCATGAATCATGTAGCAGGTCGTGGTCGTAAGCAACAGGTGATTTATCTTTGTTCTGTGACTCCATCCTGAAGATGAGCACTGGCATCTTTAATTCACGCCGCACCTCTGCATCTGTGATATAACCACCCACAATAATCATCTCTTATGTGATTTGGTACTGTTTTCTCCAGATGAGATAGTGGAATTTTAATTCATTGAACGTATGGGCTCCTAAGCTTAGATCTATGGAGTTACAGGGTTTGGCATATGTATGAAATACTGAAAGATAAATTATATATTTCTGAATGATGAAGTACACTTACCCTAGTTCTTATGTATAATTTTTTTATAAGCAGAGGAAAAATTGGACTACTAATTTGTGAAGAGTATTTTGTAGCCAGAATGATGTTCATTACTTATTTTGTTTGATTTGTTTAGCTTTTGAGTGTGGGGCAATGAAAGATAGGGCCATTATTTCTGAAGCGATTATTTCCTATAGTGTGCTTACCAAATGCCCTTGTTAGGAAGCAAAGCTGGTCATTCACATCAGCAAACAGTGATTAAGGGGGTGCTTGGGACTGTTAATGAAGATTAATAACACGTGGTTTTTGCTTAAAGTATTTTTCAAGCTAGCAGTGGAGACACTGGGCAAAATAGACTAATTTCTTACATTAGCGATTGGAAATGCTTTATCAACCCGCCCTCCTCGCAGGATAGTTTCTGTCCAGCTTTGTGCAGTCAGACATCACATATTCTTGGTTTTCTTCACAACCTCCCCAGACTGAAATTGCGTCTCTTCCTCTTTGGTAATTAGTTCCCTGCATTACCTGTGTACTTGCCTGTATCCTCAATTAGAGTGAAACTCTTTGGGGACAGTTGCATCAATAGCACATTGTCAGCGCTCAATAAATTTATTTAATGAAATGGACTGAAGAAAGTACTGGAGGGTGCTGAAGAGGGAGGGACTCGTTCATCTTGGAGTTCAGCCGAGGGGCTAATAAGTTGGTGCCCGGGTGCACTGTCGGTGGGGCCTGCAGCTCCTGACAGCTCCGGAAACGGTGGCCTTCACGCCCTTTTTGGAGTCCTTCCCCCGCGCCCATGAAACCCACCAGCTGCTCGTGGAAACATTGAAGACTTTTTAAAGAATGTGCTTCTTGTGGTATAAGCTGGGCGTGGGAATGGCAGACACAGGGCGGGGCTTTGGTGTTGGCATCAAAATATTCAAGTAAAGGGGCACCAAATTGCTCATCTTGCCAGGGTACTGGGAGTTCTCATTCTGGCCCTGGCCCGAAACACAGTGGGAACTCAACACTGGTAACTAATAAAGGAATTTAATGAAAATATAAACTCTAATGTAAATATATAATGAGTGAAGTAGTATTTTTTCTGAACATTGTTTCCTTTAGAGGGGCCATTTTTCCCATCCCTAGTTTACCTTTAGGTCAGCAATATCTAAGATTTTTACCTGTTTTAACTGATTTTGTTATATATAGCCTTTTTTTTGGTTCTGGGGGGAGGCAGAGGATGATGCCAATGCCTTTTTTACTTTAAGGACACCAGACGTGTGCCCTCTGTAACGACAGTAATTTTGGCTATTGCAGTTCCATTTTATTGTTTTTATAGTGTTCAGTTTTTTTTAAACTAAAGTCTTCACTTTATTATAGTTTCCAATTGTCTTTTATAGTTTCCAATTTTTTAGGCAAGTTTTTAATCTTGTTCCTTATTTCCTTCCATATAAAAAGAGTTCTTTCACAGCCTATCTTTCCCAGATAGCAGCTGAATTCCCAGGGCTCTATTTACACGATCATTTGTTTCTGCTGCCTCCTGTTCTTGTTTCCTTACCAGTCTCCAAGCCTGTTTACTTTTTATTTTACACTGGATACCATATTTGCAAAATCAATTTATAGATGGTTTGAGACCTTGCATGGAAGCTCTTTCTAAAGGGAATTCAGTTCTGCTGTGTGCCTGAGGACACTAGTACCTTCGTCATTTTCAGGAATAAAGATGCTTCAAGTTAGATCTTCAGTCTCTTGAAGGACTTTCTGTGTCCTTGCTCTGAGGTTAGTCTTTGTTACTTAGCTCACCAGCCTTTGGCGGGCCTACCTGCCCATCGTTTTTCCTGTGAAATACTGTTTCCATCCATAATCAGGGACAAAGGGATCGCCTGATAACCTGGGAGTCCATCCTCTGCCTCCTGGCTTGGCAATTTCTTGCTCTTTTGCTCTGCAGTGCTTTTATGCATCAAAAAAATAAAAATCTACCTTTTTCGTTGTCTTAAACTTACTATTACTGGATTCTGAAATCCATACAGCCTTATAATTTTAGAACCTATACCTCCTGTACTCTTTGAGGATCTGTCTTACCTTCATGTCTAAAATTTTATTGTTTTATGATAAGTTGCCTTGAATATATGGTATCAGAACTGATATACTCAATATATTTTTGTTAATATTATATGATACAATTTTTATGGGTTTCTATGGAAGAAAAAGCAAAAGCAATTATTTTGTGTATAATTTTCATAATTTCTCATCAAAACGTAAATTTATCAGATTCTCAGCTGATTTATATAATGTCATATTATTTCAAAATTTTAGCAGATGCTCCCCCCTTTTTAGTTTCTGAATAGAAAAATTATATCTCATGATAAGATATATATTCATATATATTTAAATATTTAAATCAATAGGAACAAAATGAAATACCCTGTTTTAACACTTAGAAACATGAATTATTATATAATTTTAAAGTGGCATTTATAATGTAATGTCATCATTCACATAAATAGTAACCAGTATTTAAGTGACATGTAATGGGAATATTTACCCTTTCAAAACCCCTACTAAATAGTTCAGCCTAGATTTGTTTTCTGAAAAGGCCTGGCTGTTTGCTTCACTTGGTTGGTGGGAAGAGAGATTGATTATCTCTTTGCTTAGACACAGAAATACTTTGAAGTTGTGTTTTTAATTAAGCCACGCAGGAGACTCCTGAAGGCTTTCAATGTTTGCATCTAATCTTTAGACAGAGGATTCTGAATTTTAAAAACATTACTTAGCTTACAGATCAGAAATATTAATGTAACTTATAGTGCAAAGTTAATTTGTTTAAAGCATTAGTTATATCTACACTTGTCCATTTACATTTTCTTCTTATAATCTGAGTTTGAACTTGATCAAGTAATTTAACTCCTCAAATTGTTTGTTATGTGAATTAGATTAGTAACGTTCATATCTTAAATAAATATAATGATATATTTTATAATAAAAATTTTTACATACAACAAAAATATTATGGCGGACACACCCTAAGGTGACTACCAATGATCTCTGCCTTCTGGTATTCACACTATTTCCTTTCCTTGAGTATGGACTTGTGACTTGCTTTTAAGCCAGAAAATATGGCAAAGGTGCTGGAATATCAAGTCTCTGATTCTGTTACATTATGTGATAAAGGTGATGGTACGTCGCTTTCATGAATATGCTTTAAGTCAATGTCTTACTAGAAGACTTACTCTAAAAACTTTCCCCTTTCTGTACTGAAGAAGTAAGCGGAGCTTAAGGTGTCCTCCAGCCAATAATAAGAAACAAAGGCCCTCAGTTCTATAGCCGCAAGGAAATAAATTCTGCCAACAACCTAAGGGAACTTAGAAGTAGATCTATCCCCAGTTAAGCCTCTGATGAGAACACAGCCCCAGCTGACACCTTGATTACTGCTGTACAGAGAACCCCTGCTCCAGCCAACACCTTGATTGCATCCCATTGAGTCTCTGAACCAGACAACCCAACTATGCCAGATTCCTGACCATGAAAGCTGTGAGGTGATAAATATGTGTTGATTAAAGTCACTAAGTTTGTGGTAGTTTGTTACTTAGTATTTATTAAATAGCTAGTACAACTATATCCAGTTGCTTTTGTTTTATTCACCAAATTATATGATTGTGTACAAAATAGTTATATAACACATTAAGTGTTTTTAAAGATGTTTTACTGTGGCGTCTAATTACTTTTTTGTTTAAAAAACATGAAGCTTTTGAAGTTTGGTGTTTAATAGTCAATGAGTTTTTTTATTTCTGCAGATGTGACTCTGAAAACCGCTATGTTGGTAACCCACTTAGAGGAACATGTTATTGTAAGTATTTGTATTTTTTATTTTAATGAATTGTTTTGTATTATTTATTTCAGGTGATTTGGCAGATAATAAAATTCATTTTAAATAACTGATGTCATTATTAGATTACCATTTCTGTTTATCTTAAATCTCATTAAAACACATATATTGATAAGAAAAGCAATGTCTTTATATTTTCTTAATTGTATTTGGTGCATTTATCCTACTCTAAGGAGTAAAATAGCAATAGGTCTTATTCTGAACATGGAACAAAATACAGAACTTGAATAAGCTCAGCTAGATTTTAATGTAATCTTTTCATTATGATCAAATTTTCAACAACTACAATTCTGTGATAGATTTTTTCAGGGGGGAACTTTGCAAATAATGGAATTTGAATTCTTTCTTTCCCTTCTGGATACTTTTTTTTTTTTTCTTGCCTTGTTGCATTGGCTACTACCTGTGGTACTCAATGAAAAGATGTGGTGAACATGTAAATATTCTTGTCTTGTTCCTGATCTTAGAGAGAAGGCATTCGGTCTTTCACCATTAAATATCATGTAGGTTTTTCCTAGATATCTTTATCAGGTTGAGAAAATTTCCAGTCAGCTTTGCTTTGCTGAGCGTTTTTATCAAGAATTGGTGTTTGTTTATATCATATGGTTTTTCTACATCAATTGAGATGATTAGAAGGTGTTTCTATTTTACTTGGTTAATATAGCAAATGGTATAACTTATATAGTTATACCACTGTTTTTTATTTGTTAAACCAGATATAAGACATTGGGGTTATTTCCAGGCTTTGGCTGGAAAAATGCTAATATAAACATTTAGATGATCTTTGTGTAGACATATATTTTGATTTTCCTTGAGTGGATTCCCAGGAGTGGAATTTCCAGGTTGTATGATAAACTTATGTTTAAGTTTTTAAGAAACTGACAAATGATTTTACCACATAGCTCTACAGTTTTACATTCCCACAATTTATAAATGTTTCAGTCTTTCTACATCCTCACCAACACTGTGTATTGTCCTTCTGATTATAGCAGTTCTAGAATATGCATAGTAGTATCTTGTGATTTTAGTTTGCATTTCTTTTATGACTAATAATTTTGAGCTCATTTCATGTGTCCATGCTTCTAATGTTAGATGTGTAAAATAGTAATTTTATGGTATTTTTGTTGCTTTTTAAAATAGTATTTTTAAAATTACATTTTCTATTTATGTTTGACATATAAAAATAAAATTTATTTTAATACATTGATCTGATATTCATCAACTCTTTATTAATTCTAATTTTATAGATTTGTTTGATTTTTTAAATGGCGTTAATTATATTGCATGCAAATAAAGACAGTTTTTTCCTACCTTTTCAATTTCTTAATTTTCTTATTGGGATGATTGGGATCTCTATTTCAGTATTGAGTCAAAATGATGGTAGTAGATATTATAATCAAGTAGAGACTTTGATAGAATTTATGGAATATTCCCTGTAACAAGTTAAGAAAATTCTTCTGTATATCAGTGTGCTTCAATATTTATTTGTTTAATTTTTCATCCTCACCAGAGGATATGCTTATTGATTTTAGAGGGTGGGGGGAGAGAGAGACACAGACAGACACACAGACACACAGACAGACATTGATTGGTTGCAGGGATCGAACCCACAGCCTAGGTATGTGTCCTGACTGGGACTCAAACCCTTGACCCTTTGGTATATGGGTTGTGCCTCCAACCAGCTAAGCCATAGCGGCCAGGGAAGTGTGCTTCAAGATTTAATCATAAGTGCCTCTTTCCTTTACCTTGTTAAATGTGAAGTTCCATTCATAGATTTTCTAATGTGAGACATCTTTCATTCTGGGGCAAACCAAACATAGTCATGGCATATTATTTGAAATACCACTAAATATTACTTGTTTATATTTAATTTAGGATTATTTTCAGTATGCATGAATGTAGACTATATTTTTACTCCCCCCCCCCCATTAAGTGACCTTTGACTGTAATAATATAGTTTTTCTTTTCTATCTTCATGTTGTGTTACTATGGTGATAGCTTTTGAAAATAAATTTGAGAAGACTGCTATCTTTTTTAAAAAAACAGAAACAGTTAAAAATATCATTACGTGATCTTCAAAGATTAGCAAATTCCACCAAAATCTCTGGGTCTGGTGCTTTTTTGTAGTTTTTGGTTCATCTTATTTATTTATTGCCATGTTACAGCATGAGAGTTTGGGTTTATTAATTCTTTCCACTGATTTTGATTTCTAATTCATCAATTTTAGGTTTTGTCTTTCGTAATTAAAAAGCACACTGTTGTTGTTTTGCCTGCGTCTGGTATGGACTCTCACTCTTTTAAAAATGTTAAAGGAATAGTCATAAAGCGCTAGATGGCAGTCTTGTCATTTGTTATGAGACCTTCAGAGCTTAATGGCCTTTGAAAAAAAAATAATGGTGTTGAAAAATAGAAAAGGTCAGTAGTTCTTGTAATAGTGTTAATGGAAACTTTCCTGATTTTAAAGATCGGAGTGAAATTTAAAATGAAGGTCTACACTGTAACACAAAGCAATTGAGTGCAGTATGGTGTTAACTTAATTGACAGTAATGTGCCAGCAGTTGTATCCTGTAGATAGTCTTAGTAGTTTTTCAAATGTCAGTTTAAAACCAAAAACCAAAGGTGTTAGAAATTTGTCATGCCTCACATGAAAGAAAAGAAAGTTTCTAGCCGTGATATCTTAATTAGATTGACCCTTGTAAACATTCAATTACACAATTCATCTCAGCAGATATAAAAATATAAATTTATCTCAGCAGATATAAAAAGTAGTAGCCTCAAAGTAGTGTAGTTTCTTTTTCCCTTAAATGCTTTATTATTATTTTTTAATACCACTGCATTCTAAACACTGGGCTCTTGCTGGCCAACTCTTAGTTGGCCCTTGAGCACTATGTGAAACCTGACATCCCGGAACTTCAGTAGCTAGTGAGACAGATCTTCCTAATTTCATTTTGTTCCTTTTTATAGAATTTATTGGGGTGACACTGGTTAAAATTATACAGGTTTCAGGTGCACAATTCCACACACATCACCTGTGCACTGTACTGTGCGTTCACCACCCCAAGTCAAGTCTCCTTCCGTCATCATTTATCCCCCGAACACCCACCTCTACCTCCTTCCATCTCCCCTCTTAATGATAATAAGAATTGTAACCAAGAAAACCTTAAACACAAAGTCAAAGACCGGGCTATGAAAATGTTACCTAGATGATGTATTTTCAATGATTAGAACCCAGTACAGAAAGTCACTGTCTGCAATCATCTACCCTATGGTATCATTGCACTAATTCTTCACTACATGTAATACCCAACTGCTAATTATCTTGCGTTAGTACATTTCCAAGTAATCAAACATATTTTGGCTTATTTCACCCTTTGAAAGATTACTGTGTTTTTAAAAAAATTTCTATTGCTCTTTAGAGTTCAGGATGCAGTTTTGTGATGATAATGATACACTACCTTTATAAGAATAAGGAATTTAATTACTACTTTATATTCCGTGATCTCCTCTCCTACTCATGATGTCTTACCTTAGTTTATATGTGTATAAAAACAAAATATTTATCCATTTATCTCACTGTAAACCCTTTAATTATTGTTGAGTTATTTAATGTTTATGTCTTGAATAGAAAGACATTATTTATAAGCATATTACTTATTGGACCTGATTTCTCTATTTTTGATAAACTAGAGATATTTTGTTCAGTACATGGGACAACGCTCTAACCAACTGAGCTGCCTGGCTAGGGCCTAAATTCTTATTTATGCAATCAGTATAAAAACATGCTATTTCTCCCAGTTTAAAAACCAGCTTCTCGCCTCTCTTGATCACACTCCTCCTGCTATTTTTTCATTTCTCTGCATTTGTCAATAATACAGGTAGCTTCTGGAAGACTTGATTTCCAAGCAGCTTTAAAAGGAAACATTAGGTGTAGGAGTCCAAACTTCCTTCAATTAATAATAATTCACATTCACCGAGTGGTATTCCTATTAGTCACTTGAATTGAGTAATACTCCTACTAATTTTGTTCTCGGTCAGGCTTGTATTTTTAGCCCAACTGACATTCAGATTGCTCCGTACCGTACATAATATACATTGCTCTTGTCTTGTACTTCCAGCTTTACCAAACGAGAACAGAGAAATCAAGTGTGAAGCCTCACCAAGAACTTGGTGGGGCATGCTTGTGGCCGAGGGGTACAGCCCAGGCAGAAGAGTGTCCGCAGGCCGGGCACTGCAGCTTTGCCCAGAGCTGCTCAGGTTCCCAGGTCACCCAAGACCCTGCCTCCTAAAGGGTATCCACTCCTGACTTCATAATGTTTAGTTTCAAGCTGGAAAACATACAGATAATTATGCAGACAAATTCTTGAAAGTAGTCCTGAAGCGTTTAGTTTGTCTTAGTGGTGTTTTGCTTTCGCTCTGAGTAGATACTGTTCTTTCCTTGGCATTGCAGCCCTACTTCTGAACCCATCGGCTGCCCTGACTAGCGATCACTACTCTCTCTGTGCGACATCATGTGTCCTCGACCCCATGCCACTAAATCCTGGCTGGCTTCCTGCCTCGGAGCTTGCCCTCAATCTCCCCGTGGGCTCCTTGAGGATCTGAGTAGTTCCCAGTGGTAGGCCTCAGGGCTCTCTATTTACACCTGGTGATTGCTCAGCTCCAGGGCTTTAGATCCCACCCAAAATGCCGTGCTCTTGAACTCTATTTAAGGTGCCATCTGCACAGAGATGAGCCAGAGAACACATATGCATATATGTAGAACCCACAGACACAGGCCCGAGTACCC